AGTTGTGGGGTTCAATAGGGGAATTTGAGGTTTAAGTCTTCAAAATCCTTTTTCCTCTGTACCAATAGAGGGATTTCATCCACATTTGACCTGGAGCATCCTTGGGTGACAGGGATTTTTTTGTATGCATGGAGGTTATGGCCTCTTTGGGTGCGGAGTTATGTAATAAGAATATTTTCCCATGGTTGCTTTATTATTGGGTGAGCGATACAGGCCATCTGGGCCTCTTGATTTAGTGAAGGAAACAGAAAGAAGTTGTGGTGAATGGCATGGATGCATGGTCAATTGCTACTACCTCCTCTTGCTTCAAAAACGCCTGTACAATATTGCTTTTGGCGGATGAAGCATTGTCGTAACTAGTTTTTTGACAGACTTTAGTTTTTTGCCTCTGTAAATATTGACAGTGATTTCTTTTTTTCATTGCACGGTACCTGAGCCACAAGCCCGTTGGAATTAAACAAAAATGACATACAAACTTCTCGATAACCATTGCTTGTTAAAGTGCCTCTATGATTCAAAGTAATAGACCAAGATTTCATCCCCTGGGAGTAACTCGGAAATTGTGTTTGAGTAGCAATTGTCGACTTTTCCAATATATTTTTAGCATATTACAAACACTTGGCCTTTTGTTCAGATATCAGCACAAATCTTCTTTAATTTCAAACAATTGGTCAGAATATGATGTGTACTGCCTTCTGAAATGCACACCATACTTATATATGATCTATCTCAGAAACAGAATAATGACCATCGTCCTTATTTACATAGGAACCTGAGAATTTATTACAGCTATCTTTGGGCCTAAACTACCTATAGTGTTTCCAGTAATTTTACACGTTTTGGTGTTTAGATCAATTTTCGGTGTAACATTACTCTAAACACCTTAGTTTAGGTCCAAATATAGCCCTAACAACATCTCAGGTCCCTGTGCTTATTTATTGTTTTCACATCAGCGATGTTCTCCTTTGATGCTGCAACAACTGGCCTGCCTGACCGTATGTCCTCTTTGAAGTCAACATTACCTTTCTTAAATGTTCACACACCTGACAACAGTTCTCAATGTGACGGCAGTGGTGCCTTTTATGCTGCATACCTCTGAATGTATCTGTTTTGGCGGTATCTGTAAAGCACTCTGTCCTTTGATATAGGAGCGTATTTCAGATTTAGTCATGATCTTCATTTTAGCATTGAAAAGTAGCCAATGGTTACAAGTGCATAACCTTCAACTATGAATGTTTATTTTGCACGTGCATTATTCTTTAAATGCTTTTATTGCCCGTTCGTGCGGTAGCTGTCACAGGGACCTGATAATGTGTTACAGCTATATTTGAACCTAAACTAAGGTAAACAAAAAAGCGATCTAAACCCATAAAACATGTAAAATTACTCTGAACACCTTAGTTTAGGTCCAAATATAGCTGTAACAAATGCACAGGTCCCTGCAGATGTGGTAGCTGTGCAGTGACAGAATTGATTGAGTGAGCCTCGTAGTAGCAAAGTTATTGCAGTACTGGTCACAGCTAGCAACTGGTGGTAGAATTGATGGTAGAGACAGACAAACATGAGCACGAAGGGGAGATCACAAGCTCTGTTTCTATAATAAACGATGAGTAGTAATAGAGGAAATGGACTCGGTATGTGTCTTACCTGTACCACTGCTCTGAAGATTTCATTGGACCGCTATCAGAAAGTTCAATGGAAGAAGAGAGAACCTGCATTTGAATAGCATTTCTGTTTAGACAGCAGACTAACAGCGGTGGGAATTTGCTTTGCTGAAGCTCATTTCTCAACTCATTGAATGTAGAGAATAAAGAACACAAGTAAGGGACGGTAAGTCATTGGATGTAGAGAATAAAGAACACAAGTAAGGTACGGTAAGTCACTGGATGTAGAGAATAAAGAACACAAGTAAGGGACGGTAAGTCACTGGATGTAGAGAATAAAGAACACAAGTAAGGGACGGTAATAAGTCATTGGATGTAGAGAATAAAGAGCACAAGGAAGGGACGGTAAGTCATTGGATGGCCATTTGATTCTGAGGTACACGTTGAGCCCGGTAGAACTTAATTCGAAATAAACATTCTGGCCTTGCCCACCAGGAAAATTGATATATCAACTAGCCTTCATGAAATTGAGAATAAATGTTATATTCTGTCTCCCATTATAACTGAATAAGTGTTTCCCGGTTGAAACAAATGTTACAACGTATTATATGGAGAAAAAAAACTGTCATGAGAATGAAGAACTTAAAAAAAATGAAATTATATTATATTGGTTTGCCCTCTTCACTACTGAGTCATTCGGTTATCCAGTAGACGATGGACAGATAGGAATTGAGTAGAATTGATAAAGTACGTAGTGAAGAGATGAAAGGACAAGAGACTTACTTTAATTATTTATATTTTTAATTTCTGAAAGACTGTTAGGCCTAGTTTGGCCTTATCCCAAACTCTGTTTGGCCTCTAGTCGCTCAAAAAACGTGAGACGTCCCAGTGCCACTGGAAGATTGGCGCCAGCTCCAGTCTAATATAAGAATTTTGTTTTATGCATACAATTTTGAAGTCCGTCTAAACGTCTGATTAAGAGGGCCTAACTCTAATTGCCAAAATAAACCTAACTTTAACCTCTGGGTAAGCATGATCACGCCTACTCTTCTTTGACAATACTCGGAGGGGCTAGGTAAATCACCATCCTCTCCACCCCTTTATAGCCAACCCTGGAAACGGTGTGAAATAGCAAACCAATTAAGAAGGGTTTAACATTAACCCTTTTGGTTATAGGTATCATTCAGGTGCCCGTATGATACCGACATCAGCTAGAACAATTGTAACATAAGATTAAAGGAATACACACGATATTAACATGTTGATCATAACATCAAATCTGTTAACGTGTAAAAAAAAAGACTTAATAATCAAAATCGTTCTGATAAAATAATTATAAAGGATGATGATATACATTGTTATTGATATCCTAAATATATACCTAGGTCTGATTGGCCGTAATGCAACGGCAATACAAAAGGTAACTGGCACTGCCCCTGTATCGACGATAAGTAACATTGTTCATAGAATGGAGTAAAACGCGTATAGATATAAACATATATTCGTATGTAGTAGGGGGCGGTAACGTATTTACATTTTGCCGTCTCTTCGCCGTATATGACCTTCGATTTAAATCTTGAAACACGGAAAAGTCAAAGACCGAGCGAGATGATATAGTCTTTCTTGGACTTTCCCGGTTTTTTTTCTTGTCCATCGTTGGCAATCAAATCTAACTAGGCATCATGCATGGTTGTCTGAGAAGGCCCTCGTCTTCTCTCCTCAGCGGCTTTATCTCTGTTTTCTGTTTTCTTTGTTGGCGGTGGCGACACTGCTAGGATAAGACACGGCACTGGGAGAGGCTTCCCTAAATCAGTCACCTGATCATGGTTAATGCTCCGCATGTGCACTTATAAAGTTTCCTTCGATATTACGGAAACCCCTGCATCGTGGACAGATATTCCAGGCTCTGAAGCTTCATAAGTCCGTTATTGTGCGACCCCCCCCCCCCCCCCCCCCCCCCCCCCCCCCCCCCCC